ATGACGAACTGGGGATCCAGTGTCGAAAATTTACGCAATAAACTACCTATTTGCCAAAGGATGCCTTTCCATGAAATTTAACTGTCTGGCGCTGGTCTATGGAGCCATGCGCAGACATCTCTGACCGAATTCCACTGGTGCTTAATTACCCCTTATATATCTTGCTCGGTGTGTTGCGGTCTTATTCTCTGCTAATGGATTTCCGTAACATTTCAAAAGGAGAGATAAATAAAGCCATAATTTCGGTGAGCGACGAGCCAAGCAACTGCATATAACTCTCGAAGACCAGAGGATCTGCTTAGGCCACCTAACATATCCTGCAAATCATCTGATACAGTTGGTGAGCCTCCACTTATCCTTCTGATTATACCCAATCGCAACCCAGAGGAAAATGAGACCGATTCCTTATGGTTAGACGTTCGGCTTCTAAGCAACAGGTCACGGTTCCAACCCCAGGGATACCACGGCTGGAAGTTGGGTATGTCTGGCTGAGGGAAGCTGATAAGTCAGAAAAATCAACTGAAGCGTTCCTTCTGACTGGCAATTATGTCAATTTGCTTATAGCTGCACCTGTTGGCAGAGGAAGAGAGTGAAATAAAAGTGCGCCTCAATCACAAATACGCAGAGACTAGCAACCAATGACTAAAAAATGAAACAGTAGGTTCAGATTCGAAAATTTCAGTATTCCGGGATATGAATTATATGCTATCTTGGGCTCACCAGCATAAATTAGGAGATTTGCCGACGTTTTGGACTGCTAGGCCTGCTATCCTTTGTCAAAGCGAACACTGACTGTTATCGATCTGCAGTTCAAATTTGCGGCTGTCAGTGTTGGCCTTGGGCTGATTGATTTTTCTGCGTTCGCTGTCTCGCCTTGCGTGTGGATTTTGGCTTGGAGTGACGCCATTTGGTGGTCTGTTCTATCCACACGGTAGAGGATACTGGCAATCCTTCTCCCGCTTCCAGTGGTCTCGTCACAGGGCCGTCTTCGTCTGCAAATCCTGACTTTGGTTTGACTGTGC